TGGTTCAAAAACTCAAGGATTTTCTGAAAAAATGTTTTCCTGTCAAGGATCTCGGACGACTTAAATATTTTCTTGGGATAGAAGTGGCCAGAAACTCTTCTGGAATTTTTTTATCACAACGGAAATATGTTCTCGATTTTTTGGCCGAAACCGGTCTAACCGGTGCTAAACCGGCATCTTTTCCGATGGAGCAAAATCACCGCCTTGCCGTAGACAGTGGACCTTTCTTCAATGACCCGGAGCGTTATCGTCGTATCATAGGCAAACTTATATATCTCAATTTGACCCGTCCAGATATTAGCTATGCAGTGCATATCCTTGCTCAGTTTATGCAACAGCCACGCATGGCGCATTGGGAAGCGGCCATTCGGGTACTTCGCTATCTAAAGTCAACACCTGGGCAGGGTATTCTTCTTGCCTCTTCATCGAATGTCACTCTTTCGGGATATTGTGATTCTGATTGGGCCGGATGCCCGCTCACGCGACGTTCCATATCAGGCTTTTTTGTCTGTCTCGGGGACTCTCCAATTGCATGGAAGACAAAGAAACAACAAACGGTGTCCCGCTCTTCCGCTGAAGCTGAGTACCGCTCTATGGCATCCGCCACTTGTGAACTTATCTGGCTTAAGAGTCTTCTTGCTTCTCTTGGCATTCATCAATCTCAGTCCATTCCCTTATATTGTGACAATCGTGCGGCACTTCACATCGCTTCGAATCCAGTTTTTCATGAGCGCACGAAGCATATTGAAATTGACTGTCATTTTCTCCGTAATCATGTTCAAACGGGTCTTATTCGCCCGTAACACATTTCCACCACCGAACAACTGGCTGATATATTTACGAAGGCACTTGGTACTCACCAGTTTAAATATTTATTATCCAAGTTGGGCATTCGTAACTTACACGCTCCAACTTGAGGGGGGGTGTACAGTTACAATGTATATAGTATGTCACTCTTCAAATTATGCATGTAGTCGTATTATTTATTTTCATGGCACATGCAATGCTTTGTAAATTATGCATGTAGTCCATATTATTTATTTTCATCTCACATGGGATGCTTTGTACTTTTGCATGGCTGCATGTGTATATATACGCACGAGTCCTTTTCTTGGAAAGGCAAGAGAGAAAATTAATAGACAATACCCACTTCATTGCTTTAGTCCCTCTCTTCGTATTACATTTTAGCAATTAAACTGTTATACAGATGTTGCAATGTCTATATAGTGTGTTTTAAAAATGTGTAAGAGAATGGAATCAAGTGTACAGTGTATGTTGTTTGGGATAGTGCACAAAGGTATTGTTTACATGCATACTAATGACCAAAATATGCAAACGTATTACATGTATAAAATATACTACGGGTATATGGCAAGTATAAAATGGAAGTCAAAAAAAATCTTTCAATTGTGGAGGTGTTGTTTGGGTAGATGTGAAGCGTGGGAAGAGAAAAGAGAAGGACCATATACTTCTAATGGTTAGGAAAATGCAAAAATGTTCAAAAAATGGGACATAGCAGTAAACAAGTCAAAAGCAAAGGTAGGAAGCACATGTGCATTACATTTTGTAGAGTGTGCAGTATTAGTGATTAATTGTGTAATTCTTAAATAGTTGGTGCACTTTGTTGTGTGCGGTTAACCATGTGCAGGTCAGTGATGGTAAAAAGAGTTGATTTTAAAATAAAATACCCCACTAACCATACATGCACAAATTCTATATATGGACTAAGCAATTCACATGAGAAAAAAATAAAATATTTAATTGGATGTGGAATGTTTCCATTAATGACATGATTAGTTAGAGAAACTGTCAATCATTAGAATACTAAAATATCCTTTACTTATTTTTAGTTGATCGCAGATCTGCATATGTATTGGATGGTTGAGATGTGTTCTCACGTTCTCATATTAAGACTCGTTCTCATTTGAACCAATATATATATATATATATATATATATATATATATATAGAGGAATGCTCCTGTCCAGACGTCCGGACAGGAGCCGCCGTCCGGCCGGCGGCGTTTGGCCGCCTTCCCGGTGGAATTTTTTGATGAAATTTTTATGGCATGTTCTCCATCAAGTCTAGTTTATCCACAAAAAAATTCAGCCAAAAACTCAATCGGGAAGGTCGTCAAATGATTTTTGCAAGTTAACTGGTCCGGAAAATACATATTCCGGACCAGTTAACTTGCAAAAATCATTTGACGACCTTCCCGATTGAGTTTTTGGCTGAATTTTTTTGTGGATAAACTAGACTTGATGGAGAACATGCCATAAAAATTTCATCAAAAAATTCCACCGGGAAGGCGGCCAAACGCCGCCGGCCGGACGGCGGCTCCTGTCCGGACGTCTGGACAGGATCTTTTCTATATATATATATATATATATATATATATATATATATATATATATATATAGATAGAAAAAAGATCAGGTGAGAAGTGCCCCTTAAAATGAGAAGTAAGAAGTAATCTCAGCCCTTAGATTTGCATCTGATCTTACAACGCAGTAAACTTATAGACTAAATATAGGAACTTATAACCAACAAATCATAACTTATAAAGCTCTCCATAATAATTACGAAAATGCCACCGCGTCAAAAAAATTTCCAGGTTTCCGTAATTATTTTTTGCGGTGGCATTTTCGTAATTATTTTTGAGGGGTCTATAAGTTATGATTTATTGGGTAAAAGTTCCTATATTTAGTCTATAAGTTTAACTTCGCAGTTTTCAGCCTAAGAGCACTTCTCACCTGATCCGCTCCATATATATATATATATATATATATATATATATATATATATATGTATATATATATATATATAGTGCCGTTCTTGTCCAGCCGGCCTGACGGGATGCTCCGTCCGGCCGAGGGCATTTCGGGCACTTCCCGGTGGGATTTTTTGATGAAATTGTTTGAGCATGTTTTTCATGAAGTCTAGTTTATCCATACCAAATTTCAGCTCAAAATTCGATCGGGAAGGCATTCAAATAATTTTGTGAAGTTAACTGGGAAGTTTATATGTATGAACTGCCCAGTTAACTTCAAGAAATTATTTGAGTGCTTTCCCGATTGAATTTTTAGCTGAAATTTGGTATGGATAACTTCATGAAGAACATGCTAAAAAAAATTCATCAAAAAATTCCACCGGGAAGTGCCCGAAATGCCCTCGGCCGGACGGCGGTTCCCGTCAGGCCGGCTGGACATGAAAAGTCCTATATATATATACATATATATGTATATATATATATACATATATATGTATATATATATATATCTATATGTGTGTGTGTATATATATATATATATATATATATATATATATATATATATATATATATATATATATATATATATATATATATATATATATATATATATATATATATATATACGGAAAAGATCCTGTCCAGCCGGAGGGGCAGGATCCTCCGTCCGGCCGCCGCCGTTTAGGGCGGTTCCCGGTAGAGTTTTTTGATGAAATTTTTATGGAATGTTCCTCATCAAGTCTAGTTTATCCAAAAAAAAATTCAGCTAAAAATTCGATCGGGAAGGCAGTCAAATAATTTTTTGAAACATAACTGCGTTTTATATGTTTAAGTTGGAGTAGTTATCTTCAAAAAATTATTTGACTACCTTCCCGATCGAATTTTTTGCTGAAATTTTTTGTGGATAAACTAGACTTGATGAGGAACATTCCATAAAAATTTCATCAAAAAACTCCACCAAGAACCGCCCCAAAAGGCGGCGGCCGGACGGAAGATCCTGTCCCTCCGGCTGGACAGGATCATTCCTCTCTCTCTCTCTCTCTCTCTCTCTCTCTCTCTCTCTCTCTCTCTCTCTCTCTCTCTCTCTCTATATATATATATATATATATATAATTATGATTTATGAGTATGAAGATATAATTGAGAGTAGAGAGAATTAGATTTTTACGGTAGATGAGAATAGGTGAATAGAAGTGTAGCAAATTGATGAAATATGCAGGTACTAATAGTCTTTTTTAACTGCACCCCACCCCCATGCCTCCAGCCCCCAACCCTCCAAACCCCATCACCCCTAATGGCTATGTAGTCGTTCCAACTTCCAAATGGCTATAAGCCCCCCCCCCCCAAAAAAAAAAAAAAAAATTGAAAAAACAATGACAGTAAGGACCATAAGCAGAAGCACCCGGTCCAATACCTTCAATCAAAAATCGGGAAATGGTAACCTTTTTACCCGGTCGGGTACCCAAGACTCATTTTATGAATCTAGTCCAGCCCCGCATAGTACCAGACCAAGTTCTAGACCATGAAGAAGGTGTGGCAAGGGCGGTCCCAAGCTCACTTCCAAAGTTTCAAGCAAAGATCTTTACTGAAAGGGAAAGTTCTCGAAATAAGACTAAAGCAATTTGAAAATTCCAAAATAGGACTGTCATATTTTCTATTCCCAAAATAAGAGTAATTACTGCCAAGTTTGGAAAATAAGGCCATGTTTGAAGTCTGGTATTGCCAAAACATGACAGTAATTAGTCCTATTTTGGGAATAAAAACATGACAGTCTTATTTTAGAATTTTCAAACCTTTTTAGTCCTATTTCGGGTAATATCTCTTACTCAAACCTCATTCATTCCTCCAAATAATTGTTCAACTTGTTCTAGGGATCCTTTGAGATAGGGTGACTTCTTTTTAAGATAAAGAAGAGAATGAATTACTAAACACTTTTGCTCATCTAATAATCATCATTTGTTTGGATTAGGGATTTAGTACGCTTTTACTACCCTTGTTTTGTGATGAAACTGTTCCATTCCAGCATGAAATGTACTCCCCCCCCCCCCCCCCCCCCCCTCGTCACTTTAAAGCACAACCATTTTTTACTCTGTTAAACTTCGAACAATAATATATTTGTGTATGAATTATTCATAACATGAAAATGGTTTTATTAAAAATTCTCATAAACTTATACACATAAATTTTACAAAAATATACTCCGTATTAATCAAAGTAGCTTACAGAGAGTAACAAGAACGAGTATTATTATACATAGTATAACCACATTGTACTGTAGTGTTGATATCAAAACCAAACATAATAGAAAACTGGGACACTCACCGAGTAACATATTATACAAGAGAGTACATGAAATTCTGTGAAGTCCATAATATTGAACTGGTAAGTCACTGGCACAAAACCACCAGTGAATACAAAAATCATTTTTTTACAGTATTAATGTTTGAACCCACCAGTGAAAACAAAGAGATACTAATTGCATAAACATTTTGTACCCAACTCATTTTCTCTCCCCCAAAAAACATGCCAAACACCCCTCTCTCCCCGGCTCCCACTACCACCCCAATGCAGTAAAACAATCATGGCTCGAGAGCAAGAGCCAACCCAAATTTGGCACTCTTCACAATTGCCCGAGTGTCTACCTCACCCGAGATGGTAAAAAGTGACTTTGGAATCCATGCGTGTTGGATAAGAGCATATACCTTGCCATTGTTGTTAACTTTGGCTTTAACCATGGTCAATGGATCCAATGCATGTTGAGTCCCAATGGTGAGAGAGTTCTCGTTGCTTGAGAAAATGTGAACCAACTCGGCACCAACGTTTGTGTTTGTTAATGGCCATACAGTGTGGTAATATGAAGCAGTAAGTGTGTTGCCCTTGTCATTCCTACATTCCATAAAAAGATCAGTATTCAATGAGAGTTTTACTTTATGGACCATTGGAACCCAGAAAATGTCAAAGAAATATATAAAGGAAAGTAAAGGTGAACTTTTAAGGAAAACAAAATTCGGGAAAATATTTTTATATGGCCAAAACATAATACATTTATTTAAATAGAACACCCTCTCCGAATAGGATGTGGTCACTCCTTGAAGACATTTATTTAAATAGGTCAACCCCTCCAAATAGGACTTCTCTCCTTGAAGAAGTATTAATTAGGTTTACGTTTCTCTTAAGTCTTTATGAGTCTTAAATTCAGGATAAAACAAAGATACTCCTATTTGGCAAATGACCCGTGCACTTTGGGGGTAAAAAAATTATTCCGACTTTGAAGATACAGTATGAGGTCGGGGGTAATTGAAGTTCTGGAAGTCTTAATAATTAATATCATCGAAGTCAGCTTTTGATAAGGAATGTGACATTTTGGCCCCGGCATCATTAATGCAAATTCAAACATTGTTCACATGTATGTCCTTGTGTGTTATGTGTTACAAAAACTGCAAAAACAGGTAGCCTTTGCTTTGGCCTCCAAATATAAGTGCTTCAACCACTGCCTATACCAGCACGAGATCAAGGTGAACAAGCCGAATAGAGCTATTGAGATTAGCTTCTTCTTCCATGGATGATCCTTGTAGTAGTTTAAAAACTTCTACAGCACTTGGTACATATTTTTATTAGGAGTTGAGTAGTTGACTGCAAACGGGTTCATATTCTGTTCCAAGTTTAGAGAAAGAATACCACCAAACTATTTTCCTGTTAGGCTTGTTGTTCATCAAGAGATCCTCACGTGGGCATAACTCATAATAGTATAGAACTCGGTATGATCCTTTGCTCTGGCCTCCTAATAACTAGAATTTCTCTGGAGAAAAATTCCATTCACATGACCTTCTACTTACACAAGGTTCATAATTCCAACTAAGATGAATTAGAATCTGGAAATGCCATTTTTCTAAAACGATTTAGCGTGATTCCACCCAAAAAAAAACATGTTTTGAAAGGTCAGGACAAGTCTGGTGATAGAGATTGCCATAGTAAGCTGCATAGTTGGACATCAAATCTTTTCCAAACTTCTTTCTCGTGATGAATGATCATGTGTTTAGTTTAGATGATCATCTAATCCTTGAACCATGAACCGAAGTTCAACAAGCATGTACAATACCGATGATTTAGAGACTCAGTCAGTTTATTGTTCGTAACAACTGAATTTTCAGAGAGATTCAGGAACAGGAACATAAACTGATCTTGGCTGGTCACCTCTACTGGAAGTCTTCTCATTTTTAATGTTTGTAAAGTAAGGTGACGTATATGACAGTTTTCCCTAAGATATTAGAGTTTAGAATTCAAATAAGAATACTAAAAAATATTCAGATATATGAAAAAGAATCAAAGAACTCCAATACTAGTTGGCACCAAATGATTGTTGAATATTGGAAGAGTCAAAAATTCAATATGTCAAATACGGTTCAATGAATACGACTCACTACGTATGGTACGCTTATTGGTGAGTACGATTATTGAACATGTGGAATTGTGGATACGGCACCACAATGAAGTGTCAGTGTGATGGTGCACCATAGGGACCACCACAACGGCTTAAAACAAAAAAGATGTGTGTTCCTGTACTAGGGCTGAGCTAAAGGTATGAGTGTGTGAATCAAAGTGATAGAATAAGGAGCAGCCCTTTGAAAAAGGAAAAAACAAGGAATTTGACCTCCTACTTGAAGCACCAAGTGACCAAACACGTATGTCTTTTCCATGGAAAATTGTTTTGTATTCCTTCAAAATGGAGGAATCCAGTACTAAAGTTCCATGAGTGGGATGTGAGATTTCCATTCCACGGAAGTTAAGATTATCTTCCTTCGAAATTGATTTCTTTGAAAAACTTCAAATGAACTCTAGAGAAAATAAATGAAAACTCATGGGAGTGTAAATTGCAACAGGATAAAAAATTACAAGGACAGGGTTTGTAAGAAGGGGAAGAGCAGTATCAATGTTTGAAAAGGCATAAACAAGCCTCGGCCCTCGAGGTGTTCTACTTTAGGCTTTAGCCTCACGAGGCATAAGCCTCAAGGCGTAAACCTCACGTGCGACATAGATATTATGAATATAGATGTCCCAAGTGATATATATGACTGCCTAGGGCATAACAACAAATGTAATAGCTTACTAATGTTCTATGTTTCATAACTTAATGTTCAAAACTTTATTATTTTAGAATACATTAAAATGACATAATGTTTAGAATTTTTAATTCCACTTCATGCCTCCAAACAGGGTCCTCCTTTGGATTTCCCACTCCAACCGTGGGTCCTAGCTTCTTTACTTTTTCCCTTATATTGAACCATCAAAAAATAGAGAAAAGACTTAGGACATGTTTACTTCGCCGGTTATTAAACGTTGCTTATTAAGACCTGTGTTAATAAGCGGCGCATAAAATAAACAATGTTGTAAGACCGTGTTTACTTCAAACGGTTTAAAACACCGCTTAACATTAAAATGTCCAAAATAACCTTATACATATATACACACACAAACATTCATGAACACAAGTATATAATATAATATAATATGTGTACCCACACCCTAACCCCTTACCCACGCTACCTTACCCCGACCCCACCCACCCCACCCTACCTACCCTACCACTACCCGACCCCACCCTACACTACCGCGGCCCTACCCCCGACCCCATATGCCCCTACCACATCAACCCCACCTTACCCCAACCCCGCCCCTACCCCTACCCTACCCTACCCTACCTTACCCGACCCCGCCCTACCCCTGCTCTACCTACCCGACCCCACCCTGCTGCAACCCTACCCCCGACCCCACTGCACCTACCCTGCCCCTAGTGCCTCTATCACATCGGCCCCACCCCGACCCCACCACCCTAGGTATAGGGTGGGGTAAGGGATGGGGTCGGGGTATAGGGTGGGGTGGGGTAGGTGGGGTAAGGGTACGGGTAGTGGTAGGGTGGGTCGGGTAGGTAGGGTAGGGGTGGGGTTGGGTAGGTAGGGTAGTGGTAGGGTGGGGGTTAAGGCGAGGTAAGGGTAGGGTCAGGGTAGGGTAGGGGTAGGGTAGGTAGGGTAGGGGTAGGTGTGTGGTCGGGTAGGTAGGGTAGGGGTGGGGTCGGGTAGGTAGGGCAGTGGTATGGTGGGGTCGGGTAGGGGTAGGATGTGGTAGGGTTGGGTTGGGTTAGGGTAGGGTAGGGGTGGGGTCGGGTAGGTAGGGTAGGGTAGGGTAGGGGTCAGGGTAGGGTAGGGTAGGGGTAAGGTGGGGTCGGGTAGGTGGGGTACGTGTAGGGTGGGGTCGGATAGGTAGGGTAGGGGTGGGGTAGGTGGTAGGGTGGGGTCTGGGTGTGGGTAGGGTAGGGGTGGGGTCGGGTAGGGGTAGGGTAGTTGGGTAAGGGTAGGATGGGGTTGGGGTCGAGGTGGGGCCGGGTAGGTAGGTGGGGCATGGGTAACAATAGGGTAAGGGCAAGGGGTAAATTCGGAAACTGAAAAAGCTTAAAGTGTCGCTTAATTAATACATGGGGGGTGGTATGCTTAATAAGCGGCACTTTAAGCACCTCTTTCGGTTAGTAAGCGGCTTTTTAAGCAGCGTGCGTGTTTACTTCACCTGTCTTAAGAGGCACTCCGCAGACACCCTTACGGTTTAAGACTACATTTTATAAGTTAGAATTTTAATTTATTAAGACCTGATAAGTACTCAGTTGCTCACTACTATTTTGCCTCAATTATAAACAAAAAGAAGCCTAAAAAACAGTCTAATTGGATTAAGATCTAAAAAAGACAGCACATATCTGGAAACACAAGGCATGTGCCTCACCCACCTCAGGATGCACACCTCAAGTGAGTAAGGCATACGCTTCTTGCCATCGCAGAAAGACTTAAGCCTCAGGGCAATATTTCTCCGTTCCGGTTCCGCACTGAGGCGCATCTAGACTCTAGACCAATTTTTTAAACCATGAGTCCATGAGAATTATTATAACAGGAATATGTCAAAGCACCACACATGATTCTCACCATGTTAAAGAAGTTATCAAGTCGGAGGTCGAGATACTCAATCCAGCATTGATTTTGTCAAAATTGCCACTGGCAGTGTCAAATGACAGATCAGTACCAACAGCAATTGTATTGGTCCCAAAAACACCAGAGTAAGTGACAAATGGATTTCCAAATAGCCCAATGCTTGTATTGATTCCAGCACCCTCAAGCAAGTACTGTAGTTCCACCTGTTAGCAAGAACTATAAGAAGAAAGTAGAGAAATGCAACAGAACTATTGAGTCTTAATTGGATCATCAGAACTATAAATGCAACATCATAATAAGCCTCTGTTTGACTATAAGAAGAAACAGAGGAGATAAAACAGTGAGAAAGAGAGACAGAACTACCGAAGATGAAATGAGGTAGATTTTTTATGGTGTTTGGTAGCAGTGAAATAATAATTAATGCTTAGGAAGTAGGACAAGCTTTTTTTCTCCATAAGAAAAAAAGGTTAAGGAGGTGGGGCCTGTCATTTTCATTCTCTCGTTTTTCACTTTTTCTATTTCACCCTTACCAAACAAAAGCTAAATAACTTTGAAGTTCAACAAATGGGCAAAAGACTTACCTTGGCTGATTTCCGATCAGGAGCAATGAAACTAAAGATGATCTTCTGCCCTGGTGATTCATCAATAGTGATGGTCGTGTATAGCTGCATTTAACAATCCAATGGTGCATGTCAGATGCAATTTTACCAACAATGCAACAAATAAACATATTCTTGAAAGTTGAAAGCAACGGGGGAGGGTCCATTGCCTAATTTAAAAAATATTACTATCCATTGGAAACCTGGAAAAAAGCAGGGAAAGAAATTCAAAAGAAATAGAAAGATAAAATAAAAAAGGACAGAAAACTTTGGGAGAATTTAAAAAAATGGTTCTAACTTAATAAGTCAACTTTAGATATTCGACCAAACTAATGAGCTTTAGTTCTCTTCGTTTTCAAACATAAAGAGTCATTCCCTAAGCATTTCTTCCATTTATCTACCACTCATAGATCCCAAACATGGCATTACAAAATAAAAGAAGTAGATTATGAGGATTTAGATTCATACACTAAGCTCACATTTTCCATTGATTCTTACCTTGGAATTGGTGTCCACTTTGGTATCCATTGTGATATTTTCATCCTTCCGCTGGATGTTGACATCAGCAATAAGCGTCTCACCTTTCTTAGCACCAGATGATGTAATGGCCTGAAATGTGAAAACATAAAAGCAGCTAAGATGTAAGAACTGTACCGTAAAATTGACATTTAAGAAGCAAAGCTTTGTAAAACCATTTATAAATGAAAATATTATACGGAGTAGATACTATCATAGTATGTACTATGTATTTACTAACTGCATACTCGATCAAACCGTATCTGACTATCATGCATTGCTGTGTGATGGAAATTTAAGCAAAAAAAAAAAGATCGTGACATGCAAAAAAACCACAACTCACAACACCTGAGAGTTGAGATGAAACTAGTGCGGGTGCATAAACAACTACAGAATAACCATTCGGATTAAGGGTGCGTTTGGTTACAGAGGAGACTGAAAGGGAAGGGAGAAATATGTAGTATTGTAGTTAAATGAAGCCTTCCCTCCAAATTCCAAAACCTCATAAATTGGAAGGATAGTAAATGAAGGGGAGGGGAGGGACAACGTTTACACTTTACCCCAGCAACTAATGGCAGTAGCTCCATAAAATGATCTCTAATCCCTCAATGTTAACCAGCCTACTCCAGCCTTCAGCCACCAACCCCATTGGAGAGCACTCATACAGCTACATTCAGTGGCGGACCCAGTAAGGGTCCCACGGGGTCCCGGGACCCCGTACACTTCGAAAAAAATACCTATATATATTATATATATAATATATTTTATAAAAAACTATTTACGAAGTGTATATTAATGATAAAAACAACTAAAAAGCAAAAGGACTTGAGTAGAGGAACGGTAGGATGCATGGATTTGAGGCTTACCATTATGTGCAGGTGCTGAGTTCGATTCCTTGCCTGCTTATCTGTTTTAAGACTTATTTTTTGGCCTGTTAAGAAGCACAAAACTAAGCATTTTGGCGGTTTGGCCTATTTTTTAAATCCCAATCCGCTGACCACAATAAATGGATTGGCTCCTTTTCATTGAATGTTAAGATTAGATCAATAAATTTATGTATTTATGATTTTCTTCCCAATATTTTAGGATTTAAAATGAAAAGATAGTTTGGTGTTGGATCCAAATTTAAACAAATTCGGAGTAGTGGGAGTAGTGAAGATGTTGATTCAAATTATTTGGCTAATAATCTACGTGAAAGACACGTTGATTTTGAATCTTAGGAGAGTACATTTGTAGCATTGTAGAATGATTTTTATATGTAATTTTTTGCTTCTATATACTATCCTAATATTTTGATGGTGTACGCTAATTATGAAATGTTATGCTTCTTTAATATTTTTTATTAATTTTATACTCCCTCCGTAACTTTAAAATCTTCCCATTTCTAAAGTAGGTAGATTAAGAATAGTGAAAGATGATATGAATTGTTGAGGGTACGATGGGAAAATAGTGGAATAATGTGGTGGAATGTAGGATAAATCCAAAAAAAGTAGTTATAATAGTGTATTATTTTAAGAATTATTGAGAGTATGATGGGAAGATTTAGAAATTGGAAGATTTTTTTGTTACGGACGAAAAGGAAAGTGGGAACATTTTTAAGTTACGGAGGAAGTATTAATTAGAGTTACGTTAGAGTAAGGACCCGTCACTCTATTTTTCTGGGTCCGCCACTGGCTACATTATTATTTACATACTTGACTCCTTAATAAGGTAAATCACAAATTCGCAACATGTCATCATCGTTTAGCAGAACATTCCAATCTTCACAATAATATGCGATACTGACCACACTAAAAACGCATCAAGACACACAGCTAGAGATACTAACCACGCCGTAGGAGGTGTGCGTAGTGACCGAAAACTTGTGGTCAGCGACGTAGTCTCTGTAGAGAAGATCTGAATGGAAATCGAAAATTCAATTTCGATTGAGTCCGTACACGGATACGAACATGTATTACACGAAATTATGCGCAAATGATGAAAATGGGAAACATACAAAAACAATAAGCATTAAATAAAACTGACCTCTGGCTTTTTTTCCGATGTCTGAATACAGACCAGGGCCCTTCACCATCTCCGCTTCTGGAAAATGACGACAAATAAGCGCGAACTTTCAACTGAAAGGGTTTAAATAGTGAGGGCTTTGGGCAACAGCTCTTCTGTATAAGTTAAGGGTATGTTTGGCAAACGGCTTATCAGCCGGCTTTTAGCTTGTTTGACCCATTTTAACTGTTTGATTGGTCAAACAAGCTAATAATGATGTTTGGTAAATGACTTTTAAAATTAGTTTGTTGAGTTTGAAAAGCTAAAAGAATGGATTGTTGAAGAAGCTAAGGGGGGCAGCTTATTCATTCGGTTGGTTCAATTTACACTCTATCAGCCATTTCGAAACAACCAATTTTACCAAACAGTTATCTATAATCAGCTAATATAACCAGCCGGTCAAAACAGCTAACACAACCAGCTGTTAGGAAACAGCTGACACAACCAGCTAACAACAACAGCTAACAGCCATTTGCCAAACATACCCTAAACCAGGTCCGGACCCGTGCAACTGACGGGTCACGGGTCAACCCATATCAGGCGAGTCAAACATTGACCTAAATATAAAATAGGAAAAACTCCCCAAATGAGACTAAGAACATCTTCGAAGGGAAAAATGGCTATATACTTGTTCAATTTTAGTGGGCCGAAGTAGCTCCGATGGGCCAAAATGGGCCTCAACAGTCGGGCTCCGTACCGGATAATGTCTTGGGCTCCTGAATAGTAGTAGGCCGGGATAATATATCTAATTACAAGTCCCCCAATTTCTCGAGCGTGTGAATCTGCTCGAGAAATTATGCTCTTGTTCATGATCTTCCATTGTCTTCCCTGCATCTATATCTTCATGTGGTCCTGCTAAATCAATGGGTGTTTGCCCCTCTGGATAGAACACGCCGGTGAGATGTTCTCCTTTCTGACTGGGTCCGGCGAGGGATGCTCTCCTCTGTGCATTCTCCCTTCTGATCGCACAAGACGAGGAAAAAGGAACCTGAATCGGGTAGCAGTAGACTCTGTATAATCCTCCTTGCAATGCAAGAAGCTTAAAGGGCTCATGTACATATATGTTAAATGATATGGAAATGAAGAACAAAAATGCAATTGTGTATGCATGAAAGTATGTATTAGTGCAATGTATAAGAACTGATGTATACCCTTTACACCGGACACAACGTTGTTGAAGAGCCGGTCATGCTGTGTAAGACGGCGGGCGCTATCCTGGTAGAGAACCTGCGAGCCCGATCATGAGCTGAAAACAATGCGAGGGCTTAAGAATGCATTGGCCTAGGTGTGAGGGCTTACGTGTAGCCTTGGTCTTTTTTTTTTTTTACTTCAGGGGGGTCTGGAGGAGGGGGGCTGGGGGGACCTGGAGTAATCAGGGATGGAACTCACTCCATTGAGTTTCAAACCCTTATGTGCCTAACGGGTTTCGAACTCGAGACCTCCCACTAGGCACAGTAGCCTTGGCTTATGGTGTAAGGGCTTACAAGTGTCCTGGCCTAGAGTACAAGGGTTTATGGATGCCTTGGCCTAGGTGTGAGGGCTTATGTGTAGCCTTTGCTAACGGTGCAAGGGCTTATGAGTGCTTTGGCTTATACTGCAAGTGCTCATGGATGGCCTCGATAGACTAGGCAGGCTTAGGGTGTTCGGTCCTCGGATGCCCGTCTCAACTTCCTTTGGATGTTCAACCTCTAGAAACTCAGCTTAGATATGTTTAGCCTTATCATGCACGACCCGATAGTTCCGACCTCGTCGTACTCAACACAAATCTCAGACCGAATTCGCGAGACGTTCGACCTCCGAATGTTGGCCTGGGCTTCCTTGGACATTAGGTCTTTTGATGGTTAGCCCGCTCGATCTCTAGTTGTTGGACACCTCTGGAATTTGCCTTCTAGATGCTCGGCATGCTTAGGGTCTCAAAAGACAATTTTGCCCCTTTTTCTCCTCTTCTTTTCTTCTTTCTTTTTCCATTTTTTTCAGCGCCACAGTTGGCTATGCGCTAAGAGCACCGTGCGCTAACTTGAGTGCGCTAAATTAATTGCGGGCACTAAGTGAGTAGAAGCAGAAAAAAATGAAAAAAATGAAAAATAATTGAAAATTGAAAAATAAAATGACCGGTTTCAAAACCCCGGAACGGGTACCCAATCCTAACCCGAGACCGATTTTACGAACCCGGTCCAATCCCGCAAAGTACCAAATCAAGTTCTGAACCGGGACGAACCAGGTCTATCTTATGAAGGTGTCACAATGGAGGTCCTAAGCTCAATTCCAAGAAAAGATCTTCAGTGAAACCTCATTCATTCCTCCAAATAATTGCTCAATCAGTTCTAGGGATTGTGATGGAGTGTCTTCTTTTTATTATAAAGTCGAGTATTAATTACTAATCACTTTTGCTCGTTTAATAATCATTTGGTTGAATTAGGAATATAGTCTGCTTTTGGTACCTTTGTTTTGTGTTGAAACTGTTCCATTCCAGCATGAAATGTACTCACTCCATCACTTTAAAGCACAATCATTTTTTACTCTCTTAGTCAATGATATTAAACTTTGAACAATAATATATTTGTGTATGAAATTATTTATAACATGAAAATGGTTTTATTAAAAATTCTCATATACATAACTTTTACACAAATGTACTCCAATTAATCAAAGTAGCTTACAGAGAGTAAGAAGAGCGAGTATTACAGAGTATAATGGAGTGAAATTTAAAAAGTGACTTTCAGTTAAGGAAACATCAACCGAGTATTCTAAGACCACATTGTACTGTAGTGTTGATATCAAAACCAAACATAATAGAAAATTGTACAAAAGGGTACAGGAAATTGTATGGAGTCCATAATATTGAACAGGTAAGTCACTGGCACAAAACCACCAGTGAATAGAAAGATCATTTAGTACAGAGATACTAATTGCATAAACATTTTCTCCCCAACTCATTTTCTCGCTCCAAAAAAACATCACCAGTAAAACACCACTCTCTCCCAGGCTTCCACTACCACCCCAATGTAGTAAACCAATCAGGCAATCATGGCTTGAGAGCAAGAGCCAACCCAAATTTGGCACTCTTCACAGTTGCCCTAGTGTCTACCTCACCCGAGATGGTAAAAAGTGACTTTGGACTCCATGCGTGTTGGATAAGAGCATATACCTTGCCATTGTTGTTAACCTTGGCTTTAACCATGGTCAATGGATCCAATGCATGTTGGGTCCCAATGGTTACAGATTTCTCGTTGCTTGAGAAAGTGTGAACCAACTCTGCACCAATGTTTGTGTTTGTTAATGGCCACACAGTGTGGTAATATGTAGCAGCAAGTGTGTTGCCCTTGTCATTCCTACATTCCATAAAATGATCAGTATTCCATGAGAGTTTTATTTTATGGCCCATTGGAACCCAGAAAATATCAAAGAATATATGAAGGAAAGTAAAGGTGAACTTTTAAGGAAAGAAAAATTAGGGAAAATGTTGAGATATGACCAAAACATAATACATTTATTTAAGTAGGACACCCCCCCTCTGAATAGGACTTGTTCACTCCTTGAAGACATTTATTTAAATAGGACACCACCCTACGAATAGGACTTCTTCACTCCTTGAAAAGTATTAACTGGTTTACATTTCTTTTAAGTCTTTATGAGTCTTAAATTCAGGATAAAACAAAGATACTCCTATTTGACAAATGACCCGTGCATTTTGGGGGTAAAAAAAATTATTCCGACTTAGAAGATACAGTTTGAGGTCGGGGGTAATTGAAATTCTGGTAGTCTTAATATCATCAAAGTCGGTTTTTGATAAGAAATGTGAAATTTTGGACCCAGATTCATTAATTGCAGTTGGGGGTTTCCCATGCATATTCCAGCATTGTTCACATGTATGTCTTTGCATGTTAGTGTGTTACAAAATCACAAAAATATGGTAAGCATTTGCTCTGGCCTCCTAATATAATGCGTCTACCACTGCCTAGACCAGCACAAGATTAAGGTAAACGAGCCGAGCTATTGAGAATTTGAGATATGCTTCTTGTTCCATGGATGATCCTTGTAGTAGTTCAAAAACTTCCACAGCACTTGGTACATATTTTCACTTAGGAGTTGAGCAGATTAAGGCATAAGGTTTTCGCCATCGCAGAAAGTGTTAAGCCTCAGGGCGATATTTCTCCATTCTGGTTCTGTGAGGCGCATCTAGACGCTAGACCGCTTTTTTAAACCATGAGTCCAAGAGAATTATTATAACAGGAGTATGTCAAAGCACCACACCTGATACTCACCATGTTAAAGAAGTTGTCAAGTCGGGGGTAGAGATACTCAATCCAGCATTGATTTTGTCATAAGTCCCACGGGCAGTGTCAAATGACAGATCAGTCCCAACAGCAAGGGTATTGGTCCCAACAACACCAGAGAAAGTGATAAATGGATTTCCAGTTAGCCCAATGCTTGTAGTGATTCCAGCATACTCAGACCAGTACTGTGATTCCACCTGTTAGCAAGAATAATATACTAATGAGTCTTAATTGGACCATCAGAACTATAAATGCAACATCATCATAAGCCTTTGTTTGACTATAAGAAGAAACAGAGGAGATAAAAGAGTGAGAAAGAGAGAACTACAGAAGAAGATGAAATGAGGTAGATTTTTTATGTTGTTTGGTAGCAGTGAAATAATAATTAATGCTTAGAAAGTAGGACAAGCTATTTTTATCCATAAGAAAAAAAAAAGGTTGAGGAGGTGGGAGCTGACATTTTCATTTCTCTCAGTTTTCATTTCTTCTGTTTCACCCTAACCAGTAACCAAACAAAAGCTAAAATAACTTTGAAGTTCTCCAACAAATGGGCAAGACTTACCTTGGGTGATTTCCAGTCAGGAGCAATGAAACTAAAGATGGTCTTCCGCTCTGGTGGTTCATCAATATTAATAGTCACATACAGCTGCATTTAACAATCCAACGGTGCATGTCAGTTGCAATTTTACCAACAATGCAACAAATGAACATATTCTTGAAAGTGGAAAGCAGCAGGGGAGGGTCCAATGCCTAATTAAAAAAATATTACTGTCCATTGGAAACCTGGAAAAAGGCAGGGAACGAAATTCAGAAGAAAAAGTAAGGTAAAATAAAAAGGGACAGAAAACTTCGGGGAGATTTGAAAAAAACGTGGTTCTCACTCAGTAAAT